GGTGTTGCTTGTGCTGTTGTTAAAAATGATTTCCCGCTGACTGTGCTGTGTGATACCGATAATATTGTGGTTGACATGAGCAGCTTCACAGATTCACATGCGGGCCGCTCTGGTAAAAACCCGCGCACACGTTGCTCGGTCCTGTTAGTAGCGGCCCGCGTTGTCCCTTCTTTTGCCTTTCCCGCCTTCTCATTTCCGTTTCTGGTTAGCGAGAGGTCGCATGCGGGCGGGCAGACCACGAGTGGTGAATGTGGGGCTGACGACGGGGGGTTGCAGGTTGACGATCTGAAGCTGTATGTAAAGCGGTGCATGGATCAGACAGCGACCCGAATTGTTCTGTTCGTACACAACACCGTTCAGACATCGCACTCAGCCGACTATGCAATGATAAGGGACGGTTCATCTAATACGCGGGCGGACGATTGACCATGGAGCACCAGTTTGAATACCAAGCTGTTTGTTGCATTCATTTGATTGGGTGAAGGCAAAAGCCTTGCAAATAATGGGGATATGCGCCTCTTGTGAGCCGTACTCGCTGATCTCTTTAGTAAAAGGCGAAAGAGATATGAGAGGTTCGTGAACGGCTCAGCGCTACGACATCACCATGTGGACACCGGCCAAACCCACCTCATCAGCTCAACATCCGGAGGGCAACAGGACGATGGTGGGTAAACCAAACGACTAATTACTACCTGGCCCTACCCTGGGGTATTGATTCCCTGGGGGTTGGGGGCTCGCTGTAATACCTACAGCTAATTACTACACAGATCTGCCCGTGGCCACTCATCACCCACGACAACGCCAAAGAAATCTTGCATCTGCTGCTGATTATTATGGACGGGTATTGCCCTATTCCCCATCACGAACGTAGCTAACACAAGGAAATACAACGGATGGATGACACGTCCTCGTCCAAGCGGGCTTAGTTGTGTCCAATGGACTCGCTATGGTGAGTTGCTGCCGTACAGCTAGCTGTAAATCTACTGCGCAGTATCGAGCAGGTCTTCGACAGAGGTCTGCTTTCCGCCCGCCAGTGAAACTTCCCAAGGGGCCATTCCTACGACCG